TATGAGCATTATTGGGTTATTTTTTTTTTCTCCGGAAATTAGGCACGACAAGAGGTCCAAGTATCTGGGAAGCCAGTTCACACCAGTTACTGCCTACGGACACATCCACAACTTGACGCGTATACCATATTGTCCACTAGCCGCAGTCACCTTACATAGCTAAACTCATGAAGCGCAGTAGACGCGAAAGAATGAGTCATTTGTCCACGTCATTAGGCTTGGGCAAGGTCAGAAAAATAATACTAATTATTAAGAATTAACGTCGCAAAACCACAATACGATTACAAAAACGGCTTTGTGGAGGTCTACGGACGTTTGGACCCCCTGGATTCTTTAACGTGCACCTAAATGTAACTACATGGGCCTGGAGCTATTTCGCATGCATCAAAAAGGCAGGCTGCCACGGCCGGGATTCAATTCCGCGACCAGCGGCTGAGCCAGCCGAGGGTCAGGAATAATGTGTCATGCTTTCAGACAGTCCTTACGCCTAAAGGCGGCAGTAATAGCAAGCAAAGAGGTTATATGGGCCAGTTGTAGCCAGCTTCTTCATGTTTAGGAAACTTTAGGTAAATACTGGATTTGTTTTATTTCTATTGGCTAAGCTGCAGACACAGTGGCCAGTTTTTTTGCGTTCTAAAAGCTTCGCTATATATAGTACTTACCTCGCTATTCGTCGCTTTCTCATGATGACGATTGCTGCCACTACGCCTATGATAACTATAGCAAATACGACTATAACACCAGTGGCAACAGCTCCAGCAGATCCGGATGCTGCAATGACAAAGCAAAAGAAGAGACTGCTTAAGCTTATCTTAACAAAAATTACTTATCAGTTCAGTGGTGATTAAGGTTTTATTAGAAGCACATTTGGTGAAGGTTGTGATAGATTTCCCTTGCACAGAAAAATAGTGCCCATTTTAAACTTCTCATAAAAGTGCACAGTAACCACGCGTTGTTCCATGTCTTCCCTCTAGTCGTAAGCTTGTCCACCCTTGCTGGCTATGACATAATATTGGGCAATAACAATTATACTAACGTATTGTTAAACTCAATTCTTTCATCTGGAGGGGAGTTGGAATTAGGACACGTCAAAGTGATGACCCTGTGTCCTGAATTTTTATATACTGAATAAGGAAGGTCACCCCCGCTAGCGTTTCGACAAAGGGACTTCTCACCACGACAATCGCCGTGCTCGAAACGTTGGCCCCGGAGAAATTTCAGGTTCAGCAATTTCTCGCCGATTCGATCCTTCATGTTTCACCTAACTCCGCTCTTTTCAATGATGTACCAGTAGTTTTGTTTCTGTTAGGCTGATTACTTTTTTAAAAACGATTACGTACAGCCTTTAGGCACAATGTATGCTAAGGAAGTTCTTGTTTGTTTTCCTAGAAGGACACTTTCATAAATAACTACTTATGATCGAAGGAAGAGTGTAAAGAAGTATGCAATAATATTGATGACTTGCTATAATAATTCTTCTACTTAATACATAGGGTCCAAATACATGACCCCAAAGCAGAGTGTGAATGAAGACATCGGACGTGGTCTCTACAGGCCAACCACTTTTGCCTTCACTCTGAATTGTAATAAATGATCCTCGGAACACATCAATGTCTAAAAAATGGTTATAATTGACTATGTATAATTAAAAACTACTGCTTTGTTTATGTATTCGCGAATGGAGAGCTAGTTAATCCAGCCTATTGATGATGAATCGAAGAGTGGTATAAAACGTGAGCAGTGTGTGTACATTCATGTGTAGCAAGTGTACCTTTTGCTGTAAGCTTGTTCTCTAATGCTTTGATTTCGGCTGTCGTCTGACAGCGCACACCCTTGTAGCCTCGGGGACATTCACACCTGGGGCTACGAGACAATGCTGTCCATCGGCATGTACCAGCATTCTGGCAGAAATACGCTGGGCACGCTGTATGAATAACAACAAAAAAAGAAAAATTAGTTCACCGTTGTGTGAAAATACGATCTGCAGCATCTAGGAGCGCTGCCATATGCTCACGGAAAAACATGCTTTATTTAAGGTCTTCAACAAAGGTTGTCATTAGGCTTGATGCTTGTACTTTTCACCAATTCGATTAACAGTGTACAGCCAAGAAGTGGATCTTACCGGAGGTGGTTCATCGTTTCACCCACTTTGCTCTGTTTACGTTTAACTTACAATTATTTCGAATAGTATTCCCTATACATTTCGTGGCGTGATTGCCTCTTAAATCTCAAGAATACGGTGCACATCCGAGTGACTCTAGCTTCAAGTGAACGGACAGAAAACATATAAAGCACATATTCAGCCCTTCCATCACGAATGCAGAATAACAGAAAAGACAATTGCGAAAATATATTTAAAGTAGAAACAAATAGAGCATTTATATAGCGGCAACTGTGACCTACTGTTACATGTCACTGTTACATGTACTGTACTGTTACATGTACTGTTACTGTTACATGTACTGTACTGTTACATGTCACAAAGTTGCAAATACAACTGCCGCTTGCACTCGTGTACTCTCTACAGTGCAATGCACAGAAGTTTCTAAAAGCGGTTGGAAAACGTTAAGTAGCAAATTGGGCTAATTGGAACACACTCACCACGATCAGCGCACCAAAAAGCACAAAAGAGACAAGAAAATGTACGACACAAGTGCTGTCTAACTGAAAGTTTAATGAAAGAAACGTGTCCTATATATTAAACATTCACTTGTTAGACGGTGCTTGTGTCACGCCATTTTTTGTATTATTGTGCTTTTTTTGTGCGCTGATCGTGATGCCGTTGGAAAAAGAAGAATTCCAAGAACGTCTTGATGCGCGCTAAAATTTGCAGCATAAGCTCTTAGAAATAACTGTAACATTCAACTCATGCAAAACTGTTGCTTTAAGACATGAAAATTACAGCGGCGCTGTTCAATTTTTTTACTCTGCCCGAATACTTTTCCACCAAGAGTAGTTATTTTTCCACTGAACTTAAGCGATCTCATTTTCTTTCTGAATGGCAAACATGAATAACATCTTGATGTAAAACTCATAACAGCTTGATGCAGCATAACCTGTCAAAGTTCATGTTACTTTTTCAGATGAGTTAGCTCCCAGTGCCCACCATGAGGCGTGAAAATTTGCTTGGGCAGACCAAAATTACTTTTGTTAGAGACCTCGAGCTAGGTAAACATAGATATCACGGAAAGCATAGGCTTTATGACTCCACATATTTCAGTCCTCTTTCTATGCATCTTGACTGTTGTCTATATGCAGGTTACACTAATCAGAACACTGCTTTCGAAATATTTGCATATACCAAGCGTTCTCTACGTTAGGAAAGTGTCGTTGAGCGTCTAATCTTTAAATAAAATCTCCTCCTATATGTAATGTCGAGTTGCTGCTGACCAATAACATGAAATATCGTATATTGATGCATTTAAACCTGCCAATGGGTTTTTCAAAGAAGTTCTGAACTGAGAAGTTGTGTGTGACGACATCATTGTGTTGTGTGGTACCTAAAATTACAGCGAAAGCGATCACAGTTGTGTATGCTCAGAAACTAACTGAATAGCTATCTCAATGCTTATAGCGCATTTTTTCTACACGTTGTCACATATGAGCAGTAATGAAAGTCTAAATGAATATTATTATCTATTTTACTTCTAATGTCTCGTTGGGAACGTTGCTTCTAGGATTAATTGTGCACTTACGTTGCTTGTAGGCTGATTTCGATAACATTTATAGCAGCTGTGAAGTTGATTTGAATAAATCTTTTGGGAGGTATTGGCATTTTACAAGCGTATATTTGCCCGACGCTGTTCAAGCGATTTATCCTTCGCATGCTCCCTTCATGCAAACCAATTTTTATTGCTTACCTCCACACAGGGCTTCATCTGAACCACCAACACAGTCTTCCTGGTCATCGCACAGCAGAGAACGTGGCAGGCAAGCACTTGGAGTACGAGTAACACAGAAAAATTCGTTTTCTTTGCATTGTGCTCCGCTTCCTGTAATAAGAAAAAAACAGTGAAGAAAAGGAATGTAGCTAAAAACAATTCAAATGGTCTTCCGTAAAAAAAATAAAAGGAACTAATCAGTCTTTAGCACTCAAATGCTCATTAGATCTAAAATGCTCACTCTGACGAGGATTCTGCTGAGGAACGTGATTGTTCTTCAGTGCTCCCTACTTACTGACTGTGAGAATATCGTTTTGAAACATTAGGGTAATTTTCTGAAACGGCCTCACAATATAAGTGTAAGATTCATCATGCTGTCATTCCTTGTTTATCAGAATACGATTTCTACTATTCCAATTACATAAAAAATCGAGGTAGAAATATGAATAGTGGAGATATGGCTTAATGATAATTCTGCTACCCTAACTCGACTTGTGGTATTCAAAGTGTAGTGCTTTCCTGGTTGCTCATGATGAAAATCTGTATGTGAGAATCAAGGCAAATTTTATGTGTCGGCAACAAACTTTTTCAATTGGCAAATGGCACGCATATTTTCAACAGAAGTTCTATTACCATCGTTATACTACACAACAATAAAGTCGATGATTGTACCGTGTTTCTCGGCCAGATAAAAATTAAGGCACCTTCGCACAATTGGTGTGAAGCCCGAAAGAACAGCGGAGCTGGTCAAACAAAAAGAGTGTAGGTCTTAATTAGGCAGTTCTTATTTAGCACTGTCTCAAAATGTAGTTTCTAATTAGCAAAATGTTAAGTCAGTCATCAAATATAATGCTCTCGATGAACGAACTATTCGGTAGACCGAGAAAAGTGCCCTATCATTTTGATAATTCCTACTCTTTTAATAACCACTGCCTTTCTTATTCATACCCTAATTATTTTCGCCTTATTAGGCTATATTTTAACATTTCTTTGTATTAAGCAACGTTTGCACTAGTACTGCTCTTATTAGCAAGATCGTATGTAGCAAGGTCCTAATTGTGGGCCCAGCTGATAAATCAGCGCTGTGGGAGACTGCCCGCACCACACTCAAGTGTTCAGGAAGCAAATCAGATGACGAATAGAACTAACATAGCGCAGGCCACACAAGCAACGCGCTTGAATGTAATGTTTGATAGAGATGATGATACATCTTTGTTCTCTATGCACGGCTTATTCTCAAGCTTAAACAGCTCCTCTGCTCAAAATGATAATCGAAGTACTTAGTTTCCTCCCCCCGGCGCAGCAACTGAGCACGTCGTAATGGTATTTGTGACCCGAATAATCCATATTGCTACCACACTACTTCCTTGCAGGTTTGAAAGTAGGTAGACACTTTCTTGTTGCTATTTCGAAAGGATGCAAAGAGCGTAACACATGTGCAGTGGTCAGTGCACTCTTAATGGACTTTCACTTTACTCGAATACAACTTCTGAATTCTGCAGACGGGTGTACACAAGCCTGCCTCGATCTGCGCGCATTCCGGACTGACTTGATGAGCGAGTAGGCTGGTGATTCGCCTTCGAAGAACATTGGCCACTACAAGAACGGGGCTATTTCTTTATTCGCGGAGACTAACGTACTTCCGTCATTTCGGTGGGACCTCTCTGGAATTCTCACATTACAGAAGACGCCGCGAAAAGAAAAACATGTAAAAAAAACTTACCGCACTTCTCGTCAAGTCCATCCAGGCAGTCATAAACCCCGTCGCAGAGCAGTGAACCCGGAATGCAAGTGTTTTCTGTCCGGCATTTGAACTCTCCCCGTTTGCACACCACTGGAGGCAACGGCTCTGTTGTCGCGGGAGCTGCAGTCGTCTTAGATTGCCAGGTGACGACTTCTGTAAGTGCATAAGATGTTTCTGTAATCTCATGATTCACTATTAACGTACAGATAATTCAAAACAGAGAAAATTGGTTCCTGTGTACGTCAACTAGCCCTGCGGCTAACAGTTTTACGAAAGTATTGTTAAGCACAGGCCAACTGTTACAAAACCTTTCCCACTCGATCCAGCATTCGCCCATATTCAAAGAATTTGAGCTAACCATACTGTGAGATTCAGGTATCAGAATGCTTACTTGGCCAACTTGTCGGGCTTTCTTTTTGAGCGAAATTAATAGCGCGATCAAACGAGAATCAGCAAAGAACGTTAACCATCAACGCCTACACTGTAAGCACGTTTTAGCATTTTAGGGAGTTTTTGGCTCGTGTTCCAGCGTTCATCCCAAAGTTAACAAGTGAAACTCCCTTTAAAATGAGGTTTTCACTAACACTGTTGTTTGCGGTGTTTTTGTAGGGTCTCTGGGGAGCTTTGTTTTCTTCGTTTGGACACCAGCACTGTGAGGTACCTTTTGGTGTTTTTTGTAGAGTGTATGTGGAGTTTCGTTTTCGTCGTTTGAACACCATAAAGGTGCCACGCGAAAGCCACTTCAAAGCTGGTTTTAGGGGTGTACATTGACTAAGGTGGCGGTGCCTATTGAAGTGAAAGCCATCCACTTGGAATCTTTCTAGTGATCAGCCTACTTTATTAAACTCATTCATTGACAATTATTGCTCATATTTCATTTATAATTGAGTAATAAAGCATTGCTAGCTCTGTACTACCGGTATAATTGCTCTGTTTTTGAGATACACTGCCGATTTGTGTTAGAAGAAGGCTTAACAAGGTTGGTTTACGAAGTAAATAGAGAAAAAGAAAATTTATGAGGTAACGGTGTTTTTATTTAACGCAATTCAGGGGCTTAGATGGAGAGCAGCGGAAGTTTTTCTGCTTCATTTCAGACCCTTAAAATACCCTTTGATACGTGGCCATGAAGAAAAAAGTATTTCAGACCCTAAACTAGTGTTTCGAAGAAAATTGTTGCTTTTATTCATCGTAGGGACATATTAGAAAATGTGATCCACGCAATCGCGCACAAACATGACATTTGCATACACGTGCGCACGACACAGCAATCAAACTCGGGACAACACACACTGAAAGCAAACACAATAACCATTGCACCACAGCGTCACCACTACCTTGCCTGTTTTAGAACGGGGGTTTATATGTTCAAAGCGGCTACTAACACATAGGCGACACGTCAAGCTTTTGTTCTCGTAGCAGCGGCGTGTGTCTACGCTTGTGCAAGATCGGTACATAAAATGAAAGGTGTCATGTAGGTGGAGGTAAACACCTTTGGCTTCGAACTATTCGGCTCGTCGTATCGTGCCACTAGAAAAAAAAAAAAGGTAAACATGTGCCCATTTGAGCACTTCACCAACATTGACAGTGCTTCACTCGCCCGAAATTCATGAATACCAGCTTGACAAAAGGTATCTTCAAATGTCCCAACACAGGTGCATCCTATGGGCGTACGCTGTGAAGCTAATTTCGGTATTTCTGCCTCGACCTGCACGCGTCCCGTGGCAGCGGCGTGTTCTGAGCTGTTCGAGACCGCCTGTGTTTCCACTGTAGATAGATGTATGGGACTGGCGCCGCACAGAATCCTCAGAGACGAGGACGAAACACTGAGCAACACATCTTTATCACATCGAGACTCTGCCACAACAGACCATCAGCGGCCGCTGAGCGCGAGCGTACCATCGTACATTATTTTCATCTGCCACTGTCGCTTTCAACACCGCCGCCGTTTCCCATAGCATATAAAAAATGAAAATAAAGTTTATCCACGGAGATGCCCATAAGCGTGCACAAGATTCCTATTCAGCGAGAGAAGGGAGGGATGAAGGTTTGTCGCAGCGCCCACTCCCCGTATTAAGGAAATGTAGAGAGCGGACTTCGCAACCCCTTCCCCAGGCAATACAAGGACATTAACACACCTACACTAAATGTTTTCACTGCACACGTACTGTCGCGAGCAAAACGAAGGGGCAGCAGGGCCTGCTTTCTGAGCAGCTGAACCATAATCTGTATTCGTAATCAGCACTTATTCGCAACTTATAATTTAGCGTGCCACACAGTGGTTCTCTAAATAAAACTCAATATTTAGTTTTTTTAGTACTCGCTGACTTCCCACAATTTTACTAATCTACATGTATTGTCAAATATCGCACAAATACATTAAAGGAAATGCCTAAAGCATGGCCCAATGTCAAGCACAACCACCACAGATGAGCAATTCACAGGTCTCCCGCTAAATAATGAAGTTAATTCCCAAGCACTTCGCCCTTATGAACGACCACTTGTACTTGGCACTCCTGTTGCACAGATGATGTAGCACAAATTAAAAAGAAGTGCAGCATTACAGTCTTCCCCTACGAAACAGCTGTTCTTCATTAAAACATTTTTTATAGCTAGTATACCATACGCACAGAAGAAGACAGGTTGGCTTCTTTGCCATTTCTAGCTTTGTAGACATAACACAGAAACCCTGAGGAGTGTAGCAAATAAACTCAAGACTGGAAAATCCTACTTATTGTAGCACTGTGTCATCATCGTGCATATTATGTCACACTTTATTTATGCAACATACCACTTCGAATATGCTACGATTACTGAAGCACCTACTAATGTATGCATGAAGAGAGTGAAAAATATCTGCCTGTTTGCCTGTCACCTACTTATAGTCCACAATAATTCTGAAGAGTAAAATATCTGCTCTGCGTGCTTGTTAATAAAAGTACAAGCCATAACCTTGAGGCAGCAGCATTTCAGCAGTTCTGATTTCATACCTGAAATGATTAAAGGTACAGTGTTTGAAATATTTTATTGGAACCACAACAGCATCAGTTTTCATGTCAGTGTAAGCATATGTACATATACATAATTGCATACAGTACCTATACCTAATACAAACACTAGGAACATACACAGCATGGCCCAATTACTATATAATATTCCCTGCAGTATAGCAAGTAAAACTAGAGCAAAAAACCTCATCATAACACACACTAACATGTGCATTTCACAGTGGACAATCTAAAGAAAAATAAGCATAATGCAAAGAAATAGGATGTACAAGAAACTTGGTGTCAATGTACACATAAAGGTTAGTAAATTAGTACAATAAGGCTAGCATGACTTTTATGAAAGATGCAACCATCTAGGTAGACATGTTGTAGTTTCTTTATTGCATTAGCTTGACCTATGGCATAAAAATTTGTGGGATATGTTCATAAGTTCAGTTTTTTGCATAAAAGTCCAAATGAGACCTGTTGAGTTGGTTTTACAACCACTTATCAAAATTTGTAGAAGTGTTCAGTCATTCTAACAAAATAACAACAATGCATTCATATAAGGCTTCACATGTTTGCTCACAAATATCTGAAAAATAACGTGGATTTGTAGAATTACCAATGCATGGGAGCTTATCGACATTATCACACAGCTGTAATACACCGATGCTTTATTTGTTCATAATTAGTACAGATATGCTTACATTACATATATCATCTCCATCCTAAAAAGTTTTTCACCTTTAATTCCTCACTTCAAGTCTTATGCCTATTCACCCCAATAAAAATAATACAAGTACCTGGGCTGTATAGTCAACTTGATATTAAGCAACCACAGGCCTAAAATTCAAAACTTCCTATATATAGCAGATGGTGGTTCGCATATTGTGTCCTAGAGCTTGGTATGCCATGAGGTTGAAAATAATTTAACCTTAAATGTATAGAGAGTGAAAAACAGTTAGGACTTTAGTCCATAATAAAGAAGTGAGATAACAAACAAACAGAGAAATAGTAATAAAGAAAACAGGGCAACGCAGTACTATGAGCTCAAGTTTACCACATGTATGATTATTTTAGTCACGTTTGTACTCATTCTGCGACTGCATGATACATTAATCTTGCAATTTTTTTGTATTTTGTGTGTGTATCTTTTTGTGGTTGGCATCACAGTTCCCTTTCTAGTAGTGCATCGTTCTATGCATTTCATTCTTTTTCACTATAAGATGGGCCTCTTCTCCGCTCTTTCTTCAACTCTTATTATTCATCAACTCATCCAACTGTTCATATTAGAAATGAGATTGCTGTGTAAAGCCGTTTCCACCTAGTGTCCTTTCTAACAATGGAAAATTTTCAAGTGCGCACGCTATTGAACAGGTTTCATGGAGTACCATGCACAACACTCAATGTGTATAGCAAAACGCAGTCAGAGCAATATTCCAAATGTTGTAAGATGTACCAAATGTTCGAGTTAGTGTACAGTGAGACACTGAAGAGTGTTTCAATTGTATACTGCCTTGTACACAAACAGGTGGACGAGCAACTCCTGCTGCTTTTCTATAAATATCTTCCTGAAAAGGATACAACAAAAGTCCATCAAGCATTTTGTATGCATAAAAATGAATGTCTTACCACTGACTCACACTTGACAGTACCGTTGCAGACTTTCTAGCAAAACATGAACAAGTGAAAAATTGAGATGCTCTTAAGTAGTTCCTTGTAAACTTTTCACTTAAAGTACTGAGGGTGAAATATACAAGATGGTGAAGAAATTCAAAACAATATCAGAAGTGAACTCTTGTCCTGTGCGCTACTACTTCGACTGCTTTTGATCTCAGTGAATTTAGCATTGTAGTGTAAAGGGATGCAAATGTTAGTAAGATTCACTTAGTTATTAACCCATTCTCGATGTAGAAATCATGAAGAAGGCATGCTTGATGCCCTTGTCCTTAGATATATGTGCACAATATTGAGCTTCAGGTGGTCGAAATTTCTGTACCTCCCCACTGCAGTGTTTCTGATGATCATGGTTTTTCAACACTAAACATTAACAATTATACCCCTTTGTAACGAAACACGTGGAATACTAGCTTATTGAACAACCCAAGCTGCTCTGCTAAGGTCTCTGATTAGGTGACTTGTTATTGATTCATGAGAAAAATAAAC